TAATGATCTTACAGGATTGCTGAAATCACACAGTCTGTAGCGATCACTGGGAATCAGCGGATGAAAGGCTGGCGAATACAGGTGTTTCTTCTTACACAGATTGAACGAGACTTCTGGGGTCAAATGTAGTCTTCTCTCGCCTCTTTCACACCAAAACACACATACAAATAACACTGGACTCAGAATACAGAGAACGTGACCTTGTCCTGGTAACTAGCGTGTAAAAAATGTGCCCCAGATGGTTGACTTGCTCAGGGACGTCTGATTGAGCTGTAATAAGCCCACCCACTGAAGCCAAATTAGAAAAAGGGTATGTGGAAAGATGAAGAAAGTAAACTGGAAAACATTTTGATTAGATCGAGTTTCAGCAGCGTTGTGGGCCGACTGCAAGCGGACACTGTCCAAATAAACCATGAGGCCAGAGAAAAGAAAAATGTTCTAGCTTAGGATAGGGTAAAGTAATGGGAGAAGAATTTCACAAATAAATATGACAACGTTGATACTTTACGATAGTGATTGACATTTTATTTATTTGTGCCACCAGTTTGTTTGTTTTCATTAATCGTCCACAAACAGAACAAGAAAAAAGTCGTGTTTTTTTACTGTGTAAATTCACAAAACAAACTCTTCCCTGCCTTTAGGTGTTTCACATATTTCTACTAATGTCACATGGGTTAAGAATCATGTGTTTTCCATTCATTTAAACAAAGCTTTGCACGTGTGGAGATTGTGTTCTCTTGGGGTGTAGTGTCCTAAATATTTACCTAACAAGATAAAACACATCCCTAATCATTTTAATGTGTACGGAACAACACAACTGCATTTTTAGCAGCGTTTCGTGTGTAGGTTGTGGTTTCGTTTCAAGCATACCAACGTTTATTGCAGTGTAACATGGATATGACTGACGATCGCCCCTTTGAAAACACAAAACAACAAGCATATGAAGTTCATTACCACAATGAACTCGAAAAGCAGAAACAGCGTGGCTATTTGAGCAATCGAAGCGTATGAGGCACAGATTTGTGGGGCGGTGTGGGTGTCCCCTGGTTATATGGTTAAAAAAACATAAAACCCTAAACAATTTCATCAAGCATGTTTACACGCACAGCATTTTCCGATTAAGTTCCATAGTCGGGTTAAGCCTTTAATCTGGGGGGGAAAGCGTTTAAAAAAAATAGTCTCGCTTTTGCTCTAAAAATGACCTGGTCTGTGATTTCTCACAGCTGTCCTTGAGTCTCAGCACTCATAATTACTTTCATTTGGACATGCACAGATTTAAATAAACAGTTGATATTCTGGTAACACTTCAGGGACTCATTTGTTAACAGGTAATGCATTAGCTAACAATATATTTGGTAACACTTTATATCGATTGTCCACTTTAGATATATTCTACTAATAGAAGTACTGCTTAATATCTGCTAACACTTTATTTTGATGCTTAACAACAGACATTCTAGAAGTAATACGTCAACTTATTCTGTTAACCCTAACGGTTTACTCTAATGAGAGTTAGTTGACAAGTTACTTACAGTTAGTAGGATGTCTAAAGTGGACCATCAAAAGAAAATGTTATCATATTTTTTTAAAAGCATTTATAAATCTTTGTTAATGTTAGTAAAAATATTATAGTTCATGTTAGTTCACAATGAATTAATTTTGTTAACAAATACAACTTTTAATTTTAATAATGTATTAGTAAATGTTGAAATTAACATTTACTAAGATTAATAAATGCTGTAGAAGTCTTGTTCATTGTAAGTTCATGTCAATTGTTACCACAATATCCATTGGTTATAGAAATCTGTGCATGTCCAAATGAAAGTAATTATGCGAGCTATGACCCGAGGCACAGACAGCTGTGAAAAATCATAGAGCCAGGGCATTTTTTATAGAAATAATGAGACAGAATATTTTATTTGATGTGTTCCACTAGTTATTGATATTCATTGATGTGTTTACATGACACGACATGATTACACAACAATTGGGTTAATATGTTTCAAACATGACAGCTCTCAGAGTGAACTATTTAACCAAATCCTTGGTATTGGCGTGCGAGATCTAAGTGTCACGATCCCTGTACTGTCTTGTAATTTGTAGGACTTTTATGTTTTATGTAGTATATTCTTAGGCTATGTTTACACGGAAATGATCTGAAGAGAAAACGCAAAAGTGGCGTTGCGTTATCACTTTTTATTCTGCGTTTAGACGAGCGTTATGGTTGGGAAATCCGCGTGCATACGGTGACGCAAAAGTGTGTGAAATTCGATGTAGTGTGCACTCCAGGCGGCTAGGTGGCGATGTGAAGCACTGCCACACAACAACACCAACATCTTAGAATATTTTGTACAACTGCTGAAAAGACTCTTGTATGTTTTTCAGAGCTGCTAGGGCAACTTGAAGGTCCGACGTATGGAAATAATCTGACATGTTGGTTGTTATTTTCCTGTACTGGCGCATGCCTGTGACGTAAACGCGTACGCGACGAGAGCCACCGTGAGCAGATTTGCGTTTTTACCGTTTAGACGGGAACGCGACGGTGGAGCGTTTTTAAGATTTCCACTCTGGAGGGTGGTTTCACTTTTTTGCGTTTTTAAGCCCCCCAAACGCCGTTGCCGTGTAAACGAAAGGCACATCCGATAAAATATTTTTACGTTTTCACCCGGAATCGTTCTCGTGTAAACGGGGCCTTAGTTCCCCGTTGTTTCTGTGTTCACTTCCTGTGTTCCTGTTTTGCATTGCTTGTTTGTCACCATAGTTACCCTTATTAGTTCCCATGACATCAGTCACCAACACCTGTCCCTCATCAGCCCCTGTCTATTTAAACCTCAGTACTTCAGTTGTTGTTTGTCAGTCGTTATTGCTGTTTGCTGTTCCATGTTCCTGTCCTGAGTTTCTTTGTTGGCCCTGGAGTATTGTTTGTATTATTATTATATTAAGAATTAAATAAGATGCATAAAGGACATGCTTTTGCAAGACTATAATAAACCCCAGTAGTAGATCTACAGGTGGTGCTGGGGAGGAGGAGGGGTCAACAGAAGTGTTCATGATGGGCGATCGCAGGCTAGCGAACAACCACATGGTTTCGTACATCTGGTTGGCTAATCCACGGCAATAGAGGAAACAATCAGTGCTATAGGTTAGAGTTTCATGACTGAAAGTATACAAACCAGTCTGATATTAATCATGTTATTTATGTAGAGCGTGAATATTAGTGTGCAAAACCTGAAGAGCCCCAGTCTGATCAATTGTGTGCATACGTGTGCCGCTCTCTGCAGGGAACGGGACAGTAATTTCATCTCGGTCCCCTTTCATGTGGCCACGGGGCTTATACTAAGAGAGCCTGCTCACTGGCACAGGATTCCCTAAAATAGCAGCATTCATACTGGGCCTGCTGTTGTAGAAAGGAAGACATTTAGTGGAATTGGACGGAATCCATGATATTAAACAGTAGATGGGATTGTGAAGCAGCGGGAGTAACCGTGCAGGGCAGCGGGCCGCAGGAATGCAAATCATCCACGCCGCTAGAAGTGAGGTTAGCAGGTGGCCTCCGCTATTCATGGGACGTCAACACTCTTTTTAGATCGGGACCACATAACGTCTGGGTACCCTGAGCACTGGTTTCAATTAAGTCAAGTACAGTCATTCCGTTTTCTGGCGTTCAGCAAAAATTGTACTTCATAAAAATCTTTGTGATCAGATAAGGTCAGCATAGATTTGCATGCAAAGATGATGATGATGATGTTTATTTCAAACCTGCATTCTAGTTTTCTCACAAGTCAACATAACAGGCTACATAACAGACACATTATACAAGTGCATGGTTTGAAAAGGAGGTGGATGAAGCAAACGCTTATATAATTCCAGATCTGGGTAACACTTTACTTGAAGGGGTGTGCATAAGACTAACATGACACCTTCATAATCATGACATGACACATGTTATGAATATGAAGGAAGTTTTATGCATGTTTGTGACAACTGTCATTAAGTGTCATTCGCTCAATTATGACATTTTTAATGCAAATATGACATTGTTTGAGATGTCTTTGTCATGACAACTTGACATTACTAAGACAACACAACCTGTCATAAACATGACATAGCAGATTAATTATCAAACTTAAGAAACCACTTAGCTTTATGGGTTAACATTACATTAAACTGTCAGGTGGTTGGTTTTGACATTGGCTGTCATGAAGCCATTATAACTGTTTAATGACAAATTCAATGTGTACCACTGTAGTTGAGGTCACGAAAAATATTCATGACAGTTATAATGGCCTTATGACAGCCAATGTCAAAACCAACCATATGACAGTTTAATTTAATTTAATGTCAAGTTGTCATGACAAAGACACTGACAGGTTATGATGTTATGGTTTATGTCAAGGTGTCATAACAAAGACATCTTAAACAATGTCATATTTGCATTCAAAATGTCATTATTGAGCGAAAGACACTTAATGACAGTTGTCATAAACATGCATAAACCCTACTTCATATTCATGACATATGTCATGTCATGGTTATGAAGGTGTCATGTCAGTCTTATGTACACCCCTTCAAGTAAAGTGTTACCCAAAAGACAAAAGGTAACTGCACCTTTTTATCTCACAATTCTGACTTTTTTTACCCGCAATTGTGAGATACGGTATAAAGTCAGAATTGCGAGATATAAACTCGCAATTGTGAGATAAAAAGTCAGAATCGGTGATCGGTGATCCCAAATGCAGAAATGGAGCAAAAAAAAAAAAAGTCATCAGTTGTTTATTTAATTTTTTTCAGCAAATTCATGTCAATCCTGCAACAAACATGATTAATCACCTGTGGTAGAGAAAGACACCGCAAATAGATCTGAAAATAGATTTAATGACATACAAACATGGTTCTAAAATAATTATGCAATTATTTTCCCAAAAAGAAAAAATATATTACTCAGAGTACTAATACAAGTGTATATAAGGAGGAAGAATATTCGCTCGGAAAACCCACGCACTGATATCTAAAGCAAACTCGTATAAATCAGCAGTTGTGGGCTGCAATACTTTGGGCTATTTGAGGAAATATGTATAGACATACTCAGTGCTTTTACAACAACACTACACTCGTTTTATTAACAAAGAATTATTGTTTATGTATTTATTTTTGCTAAATCAATATGGCTGTTCTCTTTTTTCCACATCAAAAAAAAAAAAAGTAAATAGGTGATTAGGGTTTAAGGCCTTTAGATTTCTTTTGTAAAATAGCAGCAGTTCTGTTTTGGAGTGGTTGCTTATGAATTTATGACATGTGATCAAAAGAAAGATTATTTTATATTTGATCCTCTAGTCTATGACTCTCTCTCTAACTGGTCTAACTCATTAACATATTCTCAGAGAAAGAGCAATCAGCCATGGATCTATGGTAAGAGTGGTAACTTTTAACTGATCTACATCACACATTTAAAAAAGTTATTACAAAACAAAGCCAAATAAATAAGAGGAATTGTGAGCTAATATATACATAATACTGTACATCAAATGTCAAAAACTATTTCTTTTGATATGTTATTTATTCCAGCAATATGACACAGACGCTCCTCTGCCCTCAATGACATCCACACGACCTCACCACCATATTCCTGTACTTTTTCAGAATTACATTTGAGCTGTCATCAAAATACAGCACTGATATGGCATTCAGTTTGGTTGGTGCACAGCAAGGCTTTGGCACATTATCAGGAAACATTAGATGGACCTGTGAAGGAAAAAATGAAAGAGATCTATAATATGTTGGATGAAAACCAGTGGTTTTTGACTGGACAAAAAAATGGTTTATCATACAGCAAGCAAACAATAATATCCTTCAAACCTGACACTAAAACTAAAGCTAACCAAGATCAATTAATACTGTAACAAATGTATTGCTCATTGTTATTTAATGTATCGGTTGCTTTCTTCGTGTGGACTCATATGTTGTTTTTTCCTTTGGTTGCCATCTTTCCTTCTTGTGTTTAGATCCTGTTCCCTTTGCTCCCGTTGCTGGTTTCTATGGTTACTCATTGGTTAATTGATTATGTTTACCTGAGTCTTGTTTGGTTCCTCATTTATGCTGGTTTCTATGGTTACTCATTGGTTAATTGATTATGTTTACCTGAGTCTTGTTTGGTTCCTCATTTATGCTGGTTTCTATGGTTACTCATTGGTTAATTGATTATGTTTACCTGAGTCTTGTTTGGTTCCTCATTTATGCTGGTTTCTATGGTTACTCATTGGTTAATTGATTATGTTTACCTGAGTCTTGTTTGGTTCCTCATTTATGCATGTATTTAAGCCCTCAGTTTGGTTCCTCTCTTGGTCCGGCATTGTCTTCACATGTGTGAACCTGTTACGCTATTTTTTGCCTTCTGGAGTGCCTTTGTTTTAGTAAATTAACTAAATCTTCTGCAATTTAGATCCTCTGCTCCTCTTTCCATGCCTGCGCCGTGACTGTTCATGTATTAACCAACATAATTTAGTGGGACCTTATTGTAAAGCGTTACTTTTAAGCCTAATTTGCATTTATTTGCACAAAACTGTGGCTCATTTTTTGAACAACTACTACAAACAATTCTAGAAATATTAACTCCTTCCTTGCCATTGATGGAATTTTCCGGCTTTCTGTGTTTTCACTGTTATACGGTAGGAGGCGCTATTACACATCTACTGAAAGAGTGCAGAATCTCCTGATCAAAACACAAGAGAAGAAGATAGCATATAAGCAGATGCATATGTAAAATAACGCGATCATCAACATTAAACCGTGTTTAAATCCAGGACGAGCTTTAGGACTGTGAAGCTTTGAGGTGTTGATGGACTCCATCTACTCCATCTGTGTTTTGATCATCGTTCTGAATCCGATTCAGATGTAGTCTTTGACAAAAACACGATTTCTCAGCTCAAAATACCCCACATTCAAGTGTTGATTAAAAAGCTTTTTTTTTTTTTTTTTTTAAGCAGAGGGTCTGTTCTTTCTTTTGACATATTGCGTGTTCAGATATTCCAACAACAAAATATGAAAATGAAACTTTTGTGAGAATGTTTCAAAATAGAAACTATTGTGAGAATGTTTCAAAATGTTGGCGCTGGCTGAAAGAGTTAAATAATGAAAAAACGGACACTTACCAAGGTCTGCACAATCGCATGGTTTGTCGCGTTCATATGTGCGTTCAGTGGAAATGAACACTCTCCATCACAATAAAAGGCTGCGTAGCCCTCAGGAGCAATAATCCAATCCTGAAACGAGACAGAGACAGTGGTGTGTGTGTTCTGGCTGCATGGACTAACCAGTCCTGTAACTGATGTCTTGCGAGTCGCCACATGCGCTTACCTGCCATCCTAAGTCGCGGAAGCTCACGTAAAGTTCATGCTTCTTGCAGGCTTGCCTCTGTTCACTGGTGTTCTCATCTAGATAACAGCAACAAAACACACGTTGAGCCTTCAAACACTGAAGTAGTCGTGTTGTTTAGTCTAGGAGTGTGTGTGGGCTCAATGTGCTGTACGTTTGCAGCTGGCAGGACGTCTTTGTATATAGACTCTAAATGCAGTAAATACTCAGTGATTTGATGGCATTAAAGAGCCCTACATTCAGAAAACATCAGGTAAGCTCAACATGCATTCTTCAAGTGACTCATCTATGAAGGACAGAAATGTTGACAACTGCTACTTATTAAATGCAAATTAAAGATGCAGTAGGTGATTTTCTTTTCATAGAATAGAAAAATCACTCAAAATTCACCGATATCAACAACCCGATCTCAAGGCAATTCGTACGAATTTTACGAGGTGGCTAATTCGTAACAATTCGTACGACCTCACTCGTACGATTTTTGCTAAATCGTACATATTTTACGAGTTGTCCAATTCGTATGAATTCGTACGAATGACCCACCCCTGACCCCGCCCCTAAACCTACCCATCACGTGAGTTTAGACAAATCGTACAAATTCGTACGAGTGATGTCGTACGAATTAGCCACCTTTTAATCACTCGTACAAATTCGTAAGAATTGGTCGTGAGATGGCGTTGGATATCACTGAACCCTAAGGCCTTAGCTTTGTAAATGGCAAACTAATTGACAGTGGGTTGATATTGTTGCGCTTCTTCAAGATTGTGGAGTGCAATAGAGCCACAAGCTTTATATTGCTACCAACTAACATTAGAAAGTGTCCCACTTTTGCACAATGTGTTGCATCTGAAAAATATGGCTAAAGATGAGCCAAAACATGTAATAATTTAACAACTTGCATTCTAGTGACCTGTTATACTGTTGAGCACTTTTTAATTGTCTTTCAGATATCATAGTGCAACTTACTTGTAATTGTATTATTATTACTAGAATTGTATGATGTTTTAAATTGTATGCATGTTATTTATCGATGAATGTTTTAACTATGCCATATTTTCCCTCTTTTTCTTCCTGGGACAGCAGATGAAATTGAGCTCTGTACAGTAGCTGATTTTGGGGAAGTCATTGTCCATTTAAATGATACAAAATGTTAAGAGACGCTAACCAGCTGCATTCAGAAGACATTGAGGTGCACTCTACCCGTCAGTCATTTTGAGCATTATGGTTTGCTGACTTTTTCCGCATTGCAGTTTATTCAGGCCAAGCACTGCCCACTTCAGAAACAATAACCATACTCGTGACTGACACAAGTAATGTGTTTTTACCATGTTTTATCTGAAACACTTGATAGCATTATATTCAACTGGTGTGGAAAAATAACTGAAATAATGGTGCAAAATCCTCCACAAGTTATACAGAAAGCACCCAAAAAAAGGAAAATGCTGATAAGTGGATAACACTGATGTAGAACCCTGGTTGCAGGCCTAAACTTGACATGTAAACTTGTTTCTCAAATCTGATTTCTTATCCTTTAAAAATGTGGTTGACTGGAAGGTTGTTCCAGGATCAACAAAGATGTTGATCCTGGAACATGTTGTACTTGGTGAAATCACATTCACTGAAAAAACACGTGTTAAATACAGTAGATCCAGCCAGCTCTAAAACACCTGCATAGAAGTGTACACCTGAAGACAATGATTAGCTGGATCAGGGGTGTTCGATCAGGGCTGGAGATAAACTCTACAGGACAGTGGCCCTTCAGTTTGACACCCCTGACTGAAAGGGTATGTAGATGTTTTGATCAGAATATCTGTTCATCCAGAAATAAGACAGACTATTTCACAGACAGCTAAAAAAACAACAATGGTATTTCTAGTTGAATTGATGTTTGTTTAAAGCCACTATCCTGAAAAATTTTTGAAAATCCAGTGATCATTGCATTGACGGTTGCACTTTATTTTACAGTGCGTACACTTACTAGGAGTTGCATGACCACAGATTTTTAAATTCGACTTTCAGTTGATTCGATATCAGCTAATCACTAATGACCTCATTAATAAAAACATAAGAGATGGGAATGCTTTGCAACATGCCAGAATTTGCAACTAGATGCTAAAGTTTGTGAACAAACTTAATGTTGACTTGGGTAACATGAACCTCGAGCCGAGACTCGGGTCACCAAACGTCAGAACGCTATTGCGCCTACATAATAACACCTTATTTTTCAGTTATTTTGTCTATGGGTCATTATATTTCTCACAGATTTCTGCTCATTCTAAATCAGATACAGATAAAGTATCAGTGAGAGCATTATTGAGAGAGTGATTGCCTGTGTGAATGAATCCTACCTGTCTGTCAGCGCCTCTAATGGTGAAGCTGTGGGTTTTAGTTCAAAATCAGAAAGCAATATATGCTAGAACGTTTCAGTTCCTAAGAATAAATGTTTAAAAGGTGCAACAATTGCGCCACTGACCAGAAAAAAACTAGTCTAAAGTCAGTGGCGCGTTACGCGTATATTCAGATGCTATTTTAAGCGCGCATGCTTGGCCAAAATACAGACTGTGAACAACGCGCATACACTGTAGATGATTCTCTCTTGGGTGGGTTTGTCCCATCCCCAATGTCACTTCTCTTTCTTTTACGGCCCTGACGAGAACATCGATCTCCTCGGCTGTGAACCGATTCTGAAGCGCGCTGGTAAATGCGCCGTTATAATAGTATTGCGCCATGGAACAAGCACACCTCGTTCGTCATGCTCTTAAAGGGAATGTGACATGACGCTCTTATTGGTTTGTTTCCCGTTACGCCTAAACCACACCTATGAATAATAAAGCTACTTCAGACCAACCCCTTTTAGATTTGCGTCGAGCGTAAGAGTCATTTATCCCGCCGGTTAAATAGCAACAGCGCCGAGATCCGCCCACAAAGTTACTTGCGCTTTGCGCTTGACACTTGCGTTTTAGATCGTTAAAATAGGGCCCTAAGTCAGAACAGTCTGAAGGTCTTCTGCAAGGCGGCTGTGTTATTAGTGTCAAAATCACATGATCAGCGACTAGTCGACGCCAAGTTTAATGCGTCATGTGACATGTTGACTCTGTGCAACTCCTAGTCCTTACCTAAGACATGGTTTGTAGGGAAATTACAAACCTGCGCACACATATTCAAACGAATATAACTAGAATCAATTCTTAATGCGCATGTGAACGCCATCAGGTCACAGGTTCGCGTTTAAAGTATGTTTAGAGAGAACGCCGTCGTCTTAGTGGGCCCTAATGTAATAACAAATGATCATTTTGCTGGAAGTGAATCAATCACAACTAACTTTAGCTGGAAATAACATTACTCAAAAATCGCTATAAAGCCAAAACAATCTCTGTTACCGTAAATTGAATGTTTATCTCTGTAAAGCTGCTTTGAAACAATCTCCATTGTTAAAAGCGCTATATAAATGAAGATGACTTGACTAAGAAAGCAATGGGTAATATAAAGTGACTACATTGGTTTAGGGGTAGGTTCTGGGTTAGTACTTACTAGTTATTACCCAGTTATTGTACTATAATAAGTACATAAGTACAATAAGCACAGAACAGAACTGTAAAATAAAGTGTTATCGTATTAATCTTACTTGCTCTTCCTTGGGTAAATCTAACAATCTGACAAGAGGTTGCGAGATCGAAAAACTGCTTTCCGGTTTGTTGTGTACATGTATCAGACGTAAGTGAGTGAACTTTAGCTGGTTTGTTTGGTGGAAGTTAGAGAAATGGCTAACATTGCTCACAGCACCTTTAACGGGCAACTCTGACTGTTTTGAAGTTTGTAAAACTGCACTGTACCTCCACTTTTAAGAGCTGGTGAAGATTTGGGTTGTGCTTTGCTTTTGTTTCTGTTGTGACTCTTCCTCTTGCCTCCTGCTGCTCTCACAGAACGAAGCAGAACCTCGCTGGCTTTGAAAAAAGCGACCAGGAACGGCTGTTTGGACTGAGGTCCGTTCCTTCCGATGATGCCAGCAGATTTCATGTTGATGCTTCTACCTGAAAATCCAACAGATGCATGCATCCGATTACAGAGATCAATGTTAGACAAACAGCCATGATCGAGACACGAAAACCTCGTCCTGGGTGGCTAAATCAACACAACTATGTATGACATCTTCTATGGTCCGCACAGATGCTGTGGTGATTGTCTAAATGTCAAACTGAGAGGGAGAGGACTGAAACTGATCCTAAAAAGCTGTCAACTTCGTGGCATCAGGTTCCCATTTAAGAAAGAGGAAAAACTGGGTGTAGTCGTGACTCAAAGATGATACTTCTGTGGAGTCTCACATTTGGTAAACCTGTCTGTTTTGAAGCTAATGACTATGTGAATGAAAGTTAAACCAGCTGCATTTCATGGTCCTTATTTCCAGTAAAAAGGGAATGCAACAATAATTGAAAACAACAAAAGGCCGTCACCAGGAAAGAACACTTAAAGATGACAGCGCTATTAAAGTGACCAGTGATGGTTATTATTCAATAAATTCCCCAACAAATGAGTAACATAGAGTAGCATTAACCTGGCAGACATCCATTGCAAAGTACCACTAAATGCAAAACACATCCCACATTCACAGTTTGCGTTTCTCGTAACTCCCTCTTTAACCACCGCAGTATAACTCATCGTTGGAGAAATCAACTGTCTCGAACCCGTAGTAACTTTATTGCATATCCGTCATTCGAACCACAATATAGAACTGTTGTTAATGACTAATTACAACTGTTAAATAACCGGTTTGAGATTTAATTCATGTCAGATTATTGCTGTAAATAACCAACATGGCCTCTGAAAACAACTTCATTACTTTTGATCTTCATTGTTTTGCTTTATTTCCAGATGTTTGATTCAGTTGCAGGTTTCACTCTTCATAAAAGGCATTTTAATTCTCTTGCCAACTAAAGATTGTAGAATGAAGTTTATAAATGGATGGACAGCTTTCTTATTATGGCCAAGATCATGATCCATTCAAGTCCACATGTCACAAACTATGTTTCTTGCCACAGGTTGAGAGCTGTATTTCCAGTAACACTTTACTTTAAGGTGATGTATTTACACGTTTCTACATGTAATAATAGTAAATGATGCATAATTACCAGTAACTAACCCTAAACCAAACCCTAACTGTAACTCTACAATGTAACTACTTCATCTTCAAATAAAGTGTAACCGTAGTTTCAATGCTTTTGCATTCCCTCGCAAAATCTTTTGCATTCGCACTCAAAACATTTGTGAGAGAATCCAACATCTAATTTTTTCCCCATCACCATGTCCCTTTAGGGGCTCCGTACTTCCGCACACAAAAACTTGAATTGAATTGAGCTAGATGATGACACTATTGTCTTCTATAGAGCTGCTTTATAAGTAAATCAAATTTGTTTCATATTTGACGAATTTTGCAACATCGACACTGAATTATTAAACTGAATTGAATTGACTCGAGATGAACAATGACACTATTGCCTTTTAAGAGCTGCTTTACGGCAGGAAATAAGTAAATATGTCTCATATTTGATGAAGCTTGCATCACTGTTACTGGGAAGCGGCTTTGAAACAATCTGAAGCACTGTATAAAAAAAGATATTGTATGACTAGTTAACAAATTGGGATTATTGTAACTTCTTTTGCAACACTTTGACCATGTGACAATTTCATGAGCATTTCTATTCGTCTAAACAGAGTTCGTAAAAGGTGTTTAAAGTATTTGAATTTGACCTTTTGAAATTTCAGTCATTTTTATGAAGAAGTACTTGAAAAGTGCATGAACTATTGAAATTTATTTTAAATTTTATTGATAAAAAAATCTTTTCACACATAAATAAAGCTGCAGTCCGTCTGATATAGATATAGAGGCATTTTGTATGGCTATGAGCGTGATATTACTCTCATAAATATACAAGATACAGCTTTTATTCTTCAATCCGATCATATATTCATGGGAGAAAAGAATCAGGGATATCTTTGTCATAGTACTCTTTCAATGGTTAAAGTTTCCCCAGTCATTGCATGTGCTGCACTTTATTTGCACCATTTAGTTTTATTAGATTATAATTTATCTATTTGCCTTTTTTAGAATTTAAAGATAATAAAGAAAGATAGTGTTCGATAAATGAGATCTCTGACTGTAGTCCTTGGAAAAAACAAAGTTTTTCAGCGACGTTGGTTTCGAAAGTATTTTTTCCCACTCATTTCTCCCATAGGGATTTCAAAAATGTCTTTGTTATAAGCCATGAAGCGAGCCAATCAGCTGTGAGGAGAATCATAACACTACAAACTTTGATTTGAAGCAAAAGTTTTTGAAAATCGGTACAAAGGTACAAGATTGTGAACCGGCTTTAGTGAGGGGAAGTCCTGGGACTTGATTTTACAGGATCTGTATGACCCGTGTGTTAAGCTCCACCAGAGATCTCTCCAGTGTAATGTGTGCAGTGTCTCCATCCTCAGGGAAAGGTCTTACCGTCAGTGGTCTCCACACAGAGCTGAAGGCCCATGTTCTGCTGAGGGTTCAGGAGCCAGTGATTACTGGTGGCCGTGATGTCAAACACCAGCCACCCCCCGTCAGTGGCTCGCACCTTTTTCCAGTCCAAGAGAAATGTGTCAGCATCCCTAATGAGACAAGAAGAATGCACTATGATTTACATTACATTTCCGAATATAATATGTCACCCTCCCACGCAAATAGATAAATGTTAAACAGCGATGACATGTTTAAAATCCGAGACGAATGAGTTGGATTTCGCTAATTGCAGTCATTCTGCATGTTAATTAGCAGTGTTGATTATACCATACAAAAACAAATATCGAAATGTGCGCAACTGAGTTCTCTCTCAACTCCACCTTTTCATCTCGACCACAGTTTTGTCAACAAGCCATTCCTGTTCATCTACTTAACTGATGTTCTACTAAAACAGCACATGGGCCACACAGTGAGACAGCGGCCCTGCTCTCACAGACAGAGAAGTGATCAGAGACAGTGTCATGTCCCAGCATGCCACAGTGCGGGCGAGCGCCACGCCACAGTCTCCCGCGTCCCTGGGACATCTCAGTGTTCTCGTTTGCTTTTTAACTTCATGAGCAATTGAATACAACTGACACAGAGCAGACTCTCTGCGTGTCTACGGAGAAATGTAAAAACAGATTTTAACAGATGTTATCAAAACTTTCCAAAAAGTACCATGGTATCCTTTGAAGTACCTTGGAGTGCCACGGCTAATGCTAAATCATTCAGTTCCATCAAAGTGCCGAGATGTGAGCGTCTGAAAACATTCAGATTCCACGGATGATTCTTTTAATACTTTAGTAAGAGCAATCCCAAGCCATATTCATTTGTATTCTAAATACATATTCATTTGTATTTCTCCTCAACCAAATATTCTAAATCAAAACAATGGGTAGTTTTTTTCTTTATTTAATTTATTAAAGCACCATCTGTTATTGTTGGTATACGTTGGTTCCGAAAGTATTTTTTCCCACTCATTTCTCCCATAGGGATTTCAAAAAGGTCTTTGTTATAAGCCATGAAGCGAGCCAATCAGCTGTGAGGAGAATCATAACATTACAAACTTTGATTCGAAGCAAATCGGACAAAAATACAAAGGT